GCTAGAATTTAATATTCCTTACAAGGAAGTCGTGGTGTACACATCAGCCTTTTTTGACTTTATTGTGTTTTTGTTTTTCTGCGCAATAAATTCACTACGAACCCATAATCACCTAAAAATTGTTTCTTATGAAAAATGCTTGGATTCCAAATTGTAATATTTTGAATATTCATTTTATTCAGTTTCATGATTCCAAACAATGTACTTAAAATATTCTAACATTAAATGCAAATATGTGTAACGGAAAAGGAAGCATAACACTCTGACTTTAATATTCCAAAATTTAATAACAAACTCGGAGAAAATAAAAATCCATGAAATCAATAACACATCTTCCATTAGAAATTGAAATGGAGATAAAAACTCGAATTTGGCAGACATAATACACGTCGCGAAACGAGAAGTCTCTTTTCTACTCCAATACTTCAAAGAGATCTTGCATCAGTATTGCAAATGAAGAGAAATAGCTAGAGATATTAAAACGAAAGCAAAATTGTAACGTAAGAAGCGTAATGAAACTTTATGTAAATGATATGCAAATGCTGCTGCCTTTAAATAGCTGGACTCTGTCTACAGTAAAAGAAAGAGCGAAGTTCTTACTTTTTCGATATTTGCGTGCATCCTTTTTTGACAGAACTCAGCAAACCTCGTGGAAAATTCTGAATTATGAAGAGGAGTTTCGGCACGACTTTTAAAATGAAATTTGCGATTCAAATCAACTTTTATTTTCCAGGAAAAAGGCGAAATTTGATAGCTTTTGTTTCTAGCAATGTGTCGTAAAATCTGCCCGTCTCTTTTACCATGGTTTTCTTGACAAATAAGCAAATTTTAAAGAGCTGTTTTAATGTTGGGAGTTTACATTGTTGTAGAACTCTAAGAATAACACGCCTAGATAAAATGAATACATTCCGAGTAACATAATGGTGTTTGAAGAAACAATTTTGTGCAGAATAATCTACATATATGAGAGCGATAATTCGGTGCAGTTTTTAAATCTAATTTTTCTCTTGGATACTGGATGTTTGAGAGAAGGCAAGGGGAAGCTGGTTAAATTTATTTATTAGGATAATTAATATTTGTATTAAAGGATATTGCTTATTTAATTGTAATTTTTTTATATGTAATACATTTTTATTGAATTAATTTTTCATAAATTTGTTCTGCAGAGTAAAATTCTGTGCAGTTTTTAAATTTAATATTTGGTGTTCCCTTTAGACATTTTTCCGGTACATTTAAAAGTCGGACGAAGGCTGACCACGGGGCGGCTAGTGGAAAATTATGTAAAGAAGTACATTTTACACAAAACGATAGTAACGCCAAATGTGGTTTACTCACTTTGTAAAAATTACTTGAAAGGATGGTTTTAGCTTTAGTTTCGTTTATTTAATTATAGCAAAGCACATTAGGGCTATCTGCCTAAGGGGAGGGATGCCTTCGTAGAGGACTTTGTAAGTTAAACTGACTGGTATACACGTCACACATGGGGAAAACCACGAAAACGCCCATGCAGCCAGCTCGTTTGCGGGATTCGAAACTCGGACCGAACTACCAGTGTTCAGCGACTTTACCGCTCGGCCGCTGGTGGGCCTATTTGAAAGAATGAAAGATGCAACTTTTTTCCCAGGCTATGAACAATCAAATGGAAAGGAAAATAGGTTACTATAAATTTAGAATTAGTGTCAAACTAAAAAATGTGTCCTAGGTAAATTTGTAAAATTCTCTGGAGGTTTTTCTCTGCAAATTTTACAAAATTTAATATCTATATATAATTTGAGTCGTACAGTTGAAATATGGGGAAAAATGGTTTCTTATTAAAAAAACTAGAATTTTATGTCCGAATACTTATGTTAGAACTACGCTATATATAAATCTAATACAATCCTCGCTTTCGAAACATGAAAAACGCAGATTAAATTTCATCAGTCAACCCAGCAGAATGGGAAATATGGAACCGTCCTATTGTTTTCGGTGTGCAGAGTGTACAACAGACTATCTATCACAAATAAGCAAAAATTTCATCTCTGATTACAGTTTTGTTGGGATGCAGTCCAACCTCATCAAAGTATTCTCGTTGCAGTGGTCAACACGGAATATGTTTTAGTGCTTAACTTGGAAGTTGTAGTGCTTCGTCGAACAAGTTGGGACTCGGAGTAGGTTTTCTTAAACGTCCGACAAGAACACAGGAGTTTTTTCCTTGAACTGAATTTATTAAATCGTGCAACTTCCACTTCGTACCATTTAGGTTTTAGAGAAATTTTGACCGTCTCACTTTCAAGTTGCCTGCTCCTATGTTCCTATGAGCAGCATATCTCCCACATTACAGGACACACGAGATATCCTTCCTAATGTTAATTTTAATTACATTAAAACAAAATTACGTCGAATTTATCTTGTTTTTTACACAAGATAAACATAATTTTGTTTTAATGTAATTAAAGTTAGGACACAGTTTGCTCATTATAAGCATTCTGTTCTTTCTATATTTTAAGATTCTCTCAAAATTTGATGCCACTAAAATGAACGAAATTCTTTTCAAATTTGGAAAACCAGTTTGATTGTATAGAAAATATATTCCCGTTATGTGGACTTACATATTTTACACATTTTTTAAATCTTCTGAATTCTTTACAAAATTCCAATTTTGTAATGTCACTTGATGTGTTTTGGATTTTTAGGGTGTGCTTAAAATTACATTGTTTTTATAAATATTTTAATCTTTATTTTTTATTACTTAGTGACATTTTTTTTTTTTTTGAGTGTAAAAAAAAAGTTTAAACTTACATTGTTTTAACCCAGAAGAGCTATTAATTTCGTTTGACATTTTGCGTCGAAAACTTTAAATGTCGTTTCACTTTTTAAATTGTTGCTACCAAATATTATCGTCCTGTGTTATAATTAAAGAAATTAAACAATGAAGAATCTGCATATATGTATGTAGGTTTCTCGTATTGTGATAAAGCAACGGTACCTACAGCCATCGAATTTTGAGTAACGTAATCCTCCACCGAATATGGGCATCTGGACGCCCTAATTTGGAATTTGTTCTATTACCGATTTCCTATTTTGATTAACAGACTGAACGATTTCAAAGCGAGCAATGGCAACACTGTACGGAAAAAAAAAAATCTCCAGCAAGCGAGACTGTGTATCGGAAATTCTAAAACTACGCCCATTTAAAAATTATTTTGCCATATTGCTGTTGAACTAAATTTTAGGGTTTAAGTGCAAAGAACATGATATTTAATAAATAAAGGTAACGCACAAAACATTAAAAAAAAAAGCGCCCCTTTGGGCATAATGTAAAATCTGAAAGATTTCAGATTTTTATTCGTTTTTATAACTATTATAATCTTTTTTTGTATTTTCTTGTTTTTACATAAAATGAACTGATATATAGTATCAAAATTTGAGAGTGTCTTATGTTTTGTAACATGGACTAAAGGTTTGTAATGAGCATCATTTATCCCACACAATACGAAACACAACAAATTCGACACACTTTTGATTTTAATGCAATTAAAATCAACATTATGAAGAATTTGTCGTGCGTCTTACAGTGTGGGATATATGCTGCTCCTATTATAGAGCTCGTCACTTTGTAAAGGAGCCCCACCAGCGGCCGAGCGGTAAAGACGCTGAACACTGGTAGTTCGGTCCAAGGTTCGAATCCCGCGAACGGGCTGGCTGCATGGGCGTTTTCGGGGTTTTTCCCATGTGTAACGTGTATACGAGCCAGTTTTCCTTAGAGAGTCTTCCACGAAGGCAGCCCTCCCTTTAGGTAGATAGTCCTCGTGTGCTTTGCCATAATTGAATAATCCCTAATCAGTTTATAAAGGCTAAGTTGCTGTTGAACGTGAAGAATCTTAACGCAGATTCTCTCTAACTCAGCAAGTAGAACTTCGCGGTTAAATACCGCTCTTCCTCATTATGTATTCAGACGTGATTCTAAAACTACGTTCTGGTCGGAAGTAGTAAGTTAAAGTTAACAATTTGACATGAAAGGTGTTCAAAAATTAAACTGTTAATAAAATTAACGTAATCCTTAGACTATGTTTAAGTTCGAATACATGCAGCCAGTCTCAAAACGTGACAGAAGGCCTTTAATTTTGGCCAAGACTGCGGAAAACATGTATAGCTTTGAAAATGTCAAAAATTGCAAAAAGCACTATTTACATCAAATTGTGAACAAATAAACTTAATACATATGAATAGTTTAATCTCAATAGATGAAATTCCAGAACATCAAATTCCAACATTCCTGGTTAAAATTACTAACAGAAAAATTACAGCCGAGTTCTTCATTATAATTATAGAAAATTATATAAACATGGATTACTGCACTTAAATGATATAACTACGAAGTAGTACAGACATTATAAATTACATTAGGCGTAATAATATAATGTTTCTAGTATTGTGATCAAACAACGCTACCATCCAATTTTGAATAACGTACATTTCCACCCAAATATGGGCATCTGAAAGCCCAAATTTGGAATTTGTTTTATTATCTATTCCATATTTTGTAAACCTTTAACGAATTTTTTAATTAACAAACTCAACGATTTTTAAAAGCGAGAAATGGCAATACTCTAAGGGGCGAAAAATCTTTCAATTTCCAGCGCGCGGAACTGTGTATCAGAAATTCTAAAGATATGTTCATTTTAAAATTATTTTGCCATATTGCTGTTGAGCTGAATTTTATGGTTTAAGTGCGAAGAACATGATATTTAATAAATAAAGGTAACACACTGAACGTTAAAAAAATGCCCCTTTGGACATAATTTAAAATCTGAAACGTTTTAGATTTTTTGTTTTTATTTTAAGCGTTTAAAATGTTATGCAAAATATAACGGTTTTTAACATTACCAGAAATAAAAAAACGGTTTTTAACATTACCAAAAGTAAATAACCTTAATAAATTTCAGATTTGCTTTATCTGCACAGAAGTATTTAAATTACGAAAGGAAAAACAAACAAAATATTAAAAAGAAACTTACAAATGAGAAGATTTCTTAAACTGCTGATTCGAAGCAAGTGCGATCTAGAAGTTCATTATAAATCCTTTGAAATGCATGGCCATTTCTGAAGATTTTTAATATGCCTAAAATGTAAAGATAAATAATGCAATACATGTTATGAATGTAAGAATAAACAAAATGTAAATATATTGTATATTATTACAAAAGCCATTATTTAAGAAAATCTGTAACAAGTTACATTCTACCCAACAGAGTGGCCTTCATAATTATCAATTCACAATAACTCCTACATATATAACTGATATTTTGACCTATAACAAGAGCAGCACGAACATCATTATCAGTAAATTAATGATTAATATTCTAAGCTTTTATTTAATTCATTCATAGTATTTCATTATGGTCAAAATTTTACCGTCGATTCTTGATTGATTATTGATAAATTGTCGAGACTGCGTTTTATATACACGCGGTTTTTTGATGACAATGCAGAGATTTTTTCTTCAAAATTCCGATTCATTCTCAAAATTGTTTTAATTTGTAGTTTAGACGATCGTATATCGTAGTTTGATAAACACATTGAAAATATCAGAATTTTAATATTTGCATTCCTGACAGAGCGGAAAAAATCTCTTAATGAAACTTTCATGCAAATAGTTAAAAACAGTAATATAAAAAAAACTGCAGAGATTTTTTCTTCAAAATTCCGATTCATTCTCAAAATTGTTTTAATTTGTAGTTTAGACGATCGTATATCGTAGTTTGATAAACACATTGAAAATATCAGAATTTTAATATTTGCATTCCTGACAGAGCGGAAAAAATCTCTTAATGAAACTTTCATGCAAATAGTTAAAAACAGTAATATAAAAAAACTGAAAGGTTTCAGATTTTAAATTACGTCCAAAGGGGCGTTTTTTTAACGTTTTGTGTGTTACCTTTATTTATTAAATCAATATTATTGTATTGCCATTGCTCGCTTTTAAATCGTTGAGTTTGTTAATTAAAACATTCGTTAAAGGTTTACAAAATATGAAATAGATAATAAAATAAATTCCATATTTGGGCTTTCAGATGCCCATATTCGGGTGGAAATTTATTAAATCAATATAATATTTTTGTGTGTTACCTTTATTTATTAAATTATATCATGTTCTTTGCACTTAAACGAAGAAATTCAGTTCAATAGCAATGTCGCAAAATAATTTTAAAATGAGTATGTCTTTAGGATTTCCGATACGCAGTTCCGCGCGCTGGAGATAAAACGGTTTTTTTTCTTCCGTAGAGTGTTGCCATAGCCCTCTTTGAAATCATTGAGTTTGTTACTCAAAAATTCGTTAAAGTTATACAAATATGAAATCGATCATAAAAAGAATTCCAAATTTCTAATTTGGTCTTCCACATACCCATATTCGTAGGAGAATTACGTCATTCAAAATTCGATGTCTCAATGTACCGTTGTTTTATCACAATGCGAGAAATATACCTACATTTATGCAGATTTTTCATTATTTAATCTTCAAATATAATGCAGGACTCTTAACGTTGGGTGGCAACAGTTTGAAAAGTGAAACGGACATTTATAGTGATTCAACGCAAAATCGCAAAACGGAAAATAGTCCTTCAGGGGCAAAGCCTCTTTGGACTAATTATAATTAGTACCTGAATTTTAAACAAATTTTTGAAAATAGAAATTTCTTCCTCTAAGATTTTTAAATTTCGATATCTAAAAATGTATGGGACGCAATGTTTTGGAATTTTCAGAGACTGCAACATATTCTCTTTCTTTGAAAACAACAATTAAAAAGTACTGAATGGACGGCGTTTTACATGTATTTAAAAATACGTTGCAATTTCAAGCCGAAGAGAGGAAAATAAGTTGATCCAACCATGCTACCCGCTTGGCATATCGTTTTCTAGCTTATGATGTCATTGATATCAGACGATTCTTATCGCTTCTGTAGCTTTGAATTTAACAACACAGTTTAAGGACTAATTAGCTTTTAATTTAATATTAAGTCATAAAATATAATTCAGGAATTAAATGCATTAATAAAGGTTTTTATGCAAATACAGAGGTTGTTCGCACATTTTTAGACGAGTTTGGTAAGCGGTAATAAAACATCGTTTGCTGCAAAAGGAGTAATTGCAATTGTACTGTGTTTCGAAAAGTCAAAATTATCGTCTTTGACTTGAAATTTTAATTTTTATTCCAAATGGCGAATTTAACAAAGCAGTGGTTCGAAGGCTACATTTACGCTCTTTCCGAAGAGAAATATGCATACTCCGTTATCCAAAAACGATGTGAGAGTCAGGGGTTTCTGATATCTAAAGCGTCGATAGGTAATATCATCAACAAGAAAGGAAGAAACGTCAATTGGAGACTCAAGTGGGACAAAAATTCCAAACAAGTATCCAAGGAAAAAACGGACCTCCTCGACTATTGCAAAGGCACGTTGCTTAATGTTAAAAAAAAAACCCTAGTCAAAGGACAGTTGCAAAATCATTAAACTGCTCGGTGTCCACTGTAAACAAAATGATAAACGTTGATTTCAATCTTAAGAAAGCGAAAAAACGCAATGTGCATCGTTTTCTTCCAAAGCATATCGCTCAACGCAGGACACACTGCAGAATTCTATATGAGAAACACTTATCCAAAGAAAAATGGAAAACAACTGTCACAATAGATGAAGCATGGGTGTATTTAAATGACTGTAGCAAAAAAAGAGCCATTTATTATTACCATAAAAAGGGAGAAAAAAAATTTAAGTACATGGTTCAAAGAATCGAAAAATTTTTTCTAAGGGATTCATGATTGTTGCTGGTTTTTTTTATAATGACAAGTTAAAAATAAAGAGAGTGCCAAAAATGTCAAAATTAACTCCAAATACTATCAGGAACATATTTTTCGCCAATTTTTCTGAAAGAAATACCATCGCTTTACCCACAGTGACATCCATCTGTGAGACTCCATCACGACAAGGCTAGCAGTCACACATTACAATCCACTGTTAATTTCCTAAAAGAAATGGAACAGGAAAGGGGTATTAAGGCCATACCCTTCAGTGATATCCCTACTCAATCTCCCGATGTGTCACCTATGGATTTTTGTACTTTCGGACTTTTAAAAACCGCATTATCCAAACTTTGTCCCAAAACCCTAACAGGACTCTGGAAAGCTGTTCGGGAGGAATGGGATACAATATCCCTTCTGCGACTTTAAAAGGCATTATTATCCTAGAAATTGCGGTGTCGAAAGACAGTTCAGAATAAGGGATATCAAATAGAACATTTAAAACACAAGAATTTTATGTAATGTAGTTTTGTGAATACAATATACATCGTCTAAAAATATGTGAACAGCCTCTGTAATATTTATTTGAAATGAATATGATAATTATTGACGTAAAGAAAAAGAAATTATCATGAACTGTTACGGAAACAGCAGATTAAAACATTCCTTTTTACAAATTTCATATACAATTTTACAACATGAAAAACAAAAGTATGAAGTAACGTAGATATATAATAAATAAACTGTTAAATACATTTCTTATAAGTAATTATTTGTATACTATTATCTAGACCACACAGCTATTTTATTATACGTGATAGAAAGTTTTCACAGGAGTTTTGTAAGCAGAGTAGTTTAATAGCCTTTTCCACAAAACTGTATGAGAAATTGTTTCTACATCCAAAGTAGATATTTTATTTAAATCACTAAGAATAAAATTTGATAGCATAAATGTTTTCAACTTTATTATTATTCCAAAGTGGCGTTAGACATAAGGCCCTATTGGTCTCAGTATCATTTTGCGTCGTTTCGCTTTCTGCGTTGGTTCACTTTTCAGAGTGTTGCCACCAAATATCGCCATGTGTTATATTTAACGAAACTAAATAATGAAGAATCTGCATAACTGTTTCTCACATTGTGAAAAACCAAATGGTACCTGAACCATCAAATTTAGAATAACTTGGTCTTCCAACAGAACATGACCACTTGGAAGCACGAATTTTGAATTTGTTTTATTATCTATTTCAAATTCTGTAAAACGTTAACGAATTTTTGATTAACAAACTCAACAATATCAAAGCGAGCAATGGCAACACTGTACGGAAAAAAACACTATTATCTCCAGCGCGCGGCACTGCGTATCGGAAAATGTAAAAATATGCTGTTTTTAAAGATTTTGTGATATTGCTGTTGAATAGAATTTTATGTGGTTTACCTGCGAAGAGAATAATATTTAATAAATAAAGATAACACACAAAACGATAAAAACCTCCCTCTTAGGCGTAATATAAAATCTGAAATTTTTCAAATTTTCTTTTTACTTCCTTGTACGAAGTAAAAAGGAAGTATCGTAATCGCGAAAAGTTTCAGGCAGCATATTTCAACGCAAATATCCTATTTTGACCACTTTCAAATGCAATTTAACGATGTATTTCCGTGATATCTGTATGTAAGGACAAAATGAAACACTCTTTTCCTCCAAAAAAATAATAAAACTGCTTTAAAATGAATTCTGAAGATAATTTTTCGTGGCATTTGTACGAAAGTATGTACGTACGTGCGTGCGTACGTGCCTACGTACGTATCTCGCATAACTCAAAAACGAGCAGCCTCAGAACGTTGAAATTTTGTATATAGGACTGCTATAAGATGTAGATGTGCACATCGTATTTTGGTTGCAATCGGCCGCAACAAACGTATATAAATATATTTATATATATATCCACTCTGTTACCCGGCTCAGTGACCTCAGTTTCTTTACTCTTATATGTTTGTAAATTGTACATTTTTTGCTTTATAAAACGATTGAATTATGTTGTTCTTATCTTCCGGTTAAGGTTTTTATGCCTTTAGTAAATCTGTGTGCAATATTTTTAGAATTATCAACAATTTTAAATTTGTTTATGTGCCGCTAAGCCTAATATTTTTGATGGCGGCCATTATTGCTCTTGTTTACATTTGAAACAGCAGGATAGCGGATTTGTTGCCAATCTAGAGAAACTTAGCTTCGCAACAACAAAGATAACGCCTTCATTTATTATTTAAATCATGCTTAATCCTTTCTGGAATTTTTTCGAGGAAAAATAAGCGTTTAAGATTTACTTCTGTAG